GAGGGCACCTGACACAGGAGGGCACCTGACACACGGAGGGCACCTGACACACACATGAGGGCACCTGACACACACGAGGAGGGCACCTGACACACGAGGAGGGCACCTGACACACACGAGGAGGGCACCTGACACACGAGGAGGGCACCTGACACACACACGAGGAGGCACCTGACACACACGAGGAGGGCACCTGACACACACGAGGAGGGCACCTGACACACACGAGGAGGGCACCTGAGAGAGGGCACTGACACACACGAGGAGGGCACCTGACACACACGAGGAGGGCACCTGACACACACGAGGAGGGCACACACGAGGACACGAGGAGGCACCTGACACACACGAGGAGGCACCTGACACACACGAGGAGGCACCTGACACACACGAGGAGGGCACCGAGGAGGGCACCTGACACACGAGGAGGGCACCTGACACACACGAGGGCACCTGACACACGCACGAGGAGGGCACCTGACACACGAGGAGGGCACCTGACACACACGAGGAGGGCACCTGACACACAGGGAGGGCACCTGACACACATGAGGAGGGCACCTGACACACACGAGGGCACCTGACACACACGAGGAGGGCACCTGACACACACGAGGAGGGCACCTGACACACACGAGGAGGGCACCTGACACACACATGAGGGCACCTGAACACACGGGAGGGCACCTGACACACATGAGGGCACCTGACACACACGAGGAGGGCACCTGACACACACGAGGAGGGCACCTGACACACACGAGGAGGGCACCTGACACACACGAGGAGGCACCTGACACACACGAGGAGGCACCTGACACACACGAGGAGGGCATCTGACACACACGAGGAGGGCACCTGACACACACGACACATGAGGGCACCTGACACACATGAGGAGGGCACCTGACACATGAGGGCACCTGACACACAGGAGCACCTGACACACAGGAGGGCACCTGACACACACGAGGAGGCACCTGACACACACGAGGAGGGCATCTGACACACACGAGGAGGGCACCTGACACACACGAGGAGGGCACCTGACACACACGAGGAGGGCACCTGACACACATGAGGGCACCTGACACACATGAGGGCACCTGACACACATGAGGGGCACCTGACACACACATGAGGGCACCTGACACACAGGAGGGGGCACCTGACACACATGAGGAGGGCATCTGACACACACATGAGGAGGGCATCTGACACACACATGAGGGCACCTGACACACATGAGGGCACCTGACACACACATGAGGGCACCTGACACACATGAGGAGGGCACCTGACACACATGAGGGCATCTGACACACACATGAGGGCACCTGACACACATGAGGAGGGCACCTGACACACATGAGGGCATCTGACACACACATGAGGGCACCTGACACACACGAGGAGGGCACCTGACACACACATGAGGGCACCTGACACACACAGGGAGGGCACCTGACACACACGAGGAGGGCACCTGACACACACATGAGGGCACCTGACACACATGAGGGGCACCTGACACACACGAGGGCACCTGAACACACACGGATGCACACAGGAGGCACCTGACACACACAGGGAGGGCACCTGACACACACGAGGAGGGCATCTGACACACACGAGGAGGGCACCTGACACACACGAGGAGGGCACCTGACACACACATGAGGGCACCTGGGCACCTGACACACATGAGGCACACACATGAGGGCACCTGACACACACGGAGGCACCTGACACACGAGGGCACCTGACACACACATGAGGGCACCTGACACACACGGGAGGGCACCTGACACACTGACACATGAGGGGCACCTGACACACACATGAGGGCACTGACACACACATGAGGGCACCTGACACACATGAGGGCACCTGACACACACATGAGGCACCTGACACACATGACACATGAGGCACCATGACCACACACACACACATGAGGGCACCTGACACACACATGAGGGCACCTGACACTAAAGTCTTTCTTCTGTGACTTTCAGCCCAAGTCCTTCTGAAGTCCGGACTCCCAGCAGGTCTGGATCCGGCCGGACTCTGGTCTCCAGGCACAAACTGAGACGGATCGGCTCTGGACCCGTCAGAACCCCCAGAACCCCTGGTGCCCTCGGAACCTCCAGAACCCCCAGAACCTCCAGAACCAAGGAGCTGGTGTCAGTGTCGCGCCACAAGCTACGGAGGCTCAGTCCTGGTCTGAGCAGCTGCAAGGTCCAGTCCAAACCTGAGACTAAGTCTGGTCCACAGTCCGGTCCACAGTCCGGTCCACAGTCCGGTCCACAGTCCGGTCCACAGTCCGGTCCACAGTCCGGTCCACAGTCCGGTCCACAGTCCCGTTCAGCCAAGTCCAAGGAGCTGGTGTCGGTGTCCAGGCACAAACTGAGGAGGATCAACCCTGGACTCTCCAAATCCCAGAGCAGAACCAGCCCCAGAACCAGCCCCAGGAGTCCAGAGACCAGGACTGTGCCAG